TATTTCAACGAAACAGAGTATTGTATTAATCTAGTTCTCTTGCACTTGTGTTACGTTAAATTTACTCAAATTAAAATTTATACAAATGAAAAAGACTACTGTTAAAATACGGTGGATTCTTGGTCAAAAAGTTCGTAAGCTAATAAATTTAATATCAAGTGAAAATAATAATTTATTAAATATAGTAAAAAAGCAAATAAAAAGTACATTTTGAAACTTGAACAATCTAAAAAAACGAAGAGTGTATGTTATCGGTCTGATTTAAGTTTTTAATTTTACTTTTAGCTTTATGAAAAATGAAATTATCAAAATTGTATGGGTGATAATCTCTCAAGCATCATACACACTTTAAAAATTTAGGATTCTTATCATGGTAAGTATTATTCAAAGAACTTAATTAAAAAAGGTTTTTTCAATCAAAGCTGAAAACACAATTTTGAATGTAAGAAAATTAAATAATTTCTGTAATAACTTAAAAGATATGGCAAACGATACCATTTTCTATTCCCAAAAATACAAAACTAATTTCACTTTTCTCATAGTTCCTTAAAATGATGATGATCGTTGTTCAGTATTTTTTTAAATAAAATTTTTTTTCAAAAAATGCAGAGCTGCGTTTTCTCTCAGACACAACTTTTCAATACTGATTTTGGAATGGTATGTTGCACGTTACGTATTTTCCTTTCTTTTATTCTAGGACTTGCACTCATTTATTTTCTCTCTCTTTTTTTACCCTTTAGAACAATTTTTCTTTTTTTTTTTGCGCTTATAATCATACATTGATAATTGTTACAGAATGCTATTACAGTATTTTTCTTAATAAGCAAGTATATGTATAAATCTTTTTCCACAAGCACTTTTTGTACTTTACTTTCAAATAATTAACTATTTCAAGAATCTGAGGTTCGGAACTAAAATTTTCAAACGATTTTGTTATTTTTTTTTATTTTTTTTCTGAATTGTTAATATATTTTTTATTTTTAAAAATTATCTCTTTAGGAAAAAGTAGTTATAATACTTGCAGTGTGTCTGCGTAAATAATAAAACGTAGGAAATCATGGACAAAATACTATAATTTACATCAAGGATGTAAAAAAATACATTCATATGAAAAAATCAAGGCCTAAGAAAGAGTGACGACTGGTACTTATTTGTGTACGTTTTTTGCTCTATATATCATTGTTTTATAAAATTTATTTGCATCAATATAAATCTTTGTAGTAAATTGTTTGTCACTATATACAAACCATAAAAATATTTTTACGGGTGTACGGTAGATGGTTAGCTTATTGGAAAGGAAAAATCGGAAAAAATTCTTGCAACAATCTCGACCTTTGTAGAATATACAGCGTCCCAATTGGAACCCTAAAATTCAACTGCGTGCATTTGTGAGAGCATTTTCCGTTGAAATGTTGAATTTGTCAGATTTCAGTTCTGCAATTTAAGCCCCATTTAAGTCTTGGATACAATTTTTTTTTGTTCTTAAGAAATATCTTTGTTGATAACTTTATAATTTCTCGCCGTAGAAAAATTAAAAAATCCGTTTTTTGCTTCTAGGCATCGTCAAAACTTTAAATTTTCGAGTAAGTAAGACGATAGCCCGTAATAATAATATAGCCCCCTTTTTGTATGTTAAACTGAGGCAAAGTTTTTCATAATCTAAATTTCGTTGTGCCTTCAGTAAAAAATATCCCTTGATTATTTAATGAAAAAATGCAGTTTATTACTAAAGTAATCATCATTAGACTTGCATACATCAAAATTTTGTTATAACTTTTTATTTTTATGTTGTTATTTGCTTCATAAAAAACTAAATANTATCTATATGTTGTAGTATTTTATAAAAAATATGATAATTGATTTTTTAATCATAATTATAACTAATAGTAATAGTAATAATAATAATAATAATAATAATAAAAATAATAATAATTAATAAGCGTGCGGTGCACATTGATACACCGAAAGAGCGTACCCCCGTGTGCATCTGAGGAGGGCATGGAGCTCTAAAATCTTATGTATATTGTTTGTATGTATACTTGCGTGCACGCACGAGCGCCAATATATATATGCGTATGTATATATGTATATTTTCATCGACTAGAATTCGTATTTATGGGATGCATGTGACTATACTCAACTCTCCTTGCCTTATTTCGCCCGTATGCTGCAATTACGTCTCAAACTCTTTTCTTTCGCTTCGTTGAAACTTGCAATTGAGTTTTAAATAGATCATGAAAAAAATAAAGAAATGGAATAGATAAAGATCGATTTCTCCGTTGCTGCGTAATAGCGATCCGGAGTATCGTTTTTTAAGAATTTGAAACTGATGAACGCAAAATAAGATTAATTTTTTCTGTACTTTGTAGTTTGGGCTCGAATTTCGTTATTTAACTACTAAGTTAACGAAATGAGTTTTTCTGTTATGTTAATTTATAAAAACAAACCCACTGTTTTTGTTACTGTTTTTACCTTTTGATGCACGAAAGATAAAATATAGAGGACTTTCCATGCTTTTTCTTTCATCTCCTGATAAGCAAATTTTATAAAAATAATGTCCAAGGATTTGTGAAACAACAAAAAATCAATTCACAATTTTTCATTTTCGCGGTCGTACAAAAAAGAGCTTATTTTCAAAGGTCACAATTATCATGAGAAAAAAAATTGAGCCCTCAATTGATCCTCACCCGATTTTTTGTTTCTCGCAGCCCATTACGAATAATCCTCTTTAAAATTTGAAAAAAAAATTTTTAAACTCTTTATCCAGTTTACAAACGTCCATCTCTTTCTCTTTATCGCTGTCTCGATTTCTCTTTTGCTCTCCTTCTTACTCGCCAGTTTTTTTGCGTCTTCAGTCTCTCCCAGGGGGATTTTACTTCTTGCGGCCAAGATACTCGGCTATCTCTTGGAACTTTTCTTTCTCGTCCTCGAGCAGCAGCGCTTGGATGCAGCTCGTAAAGTATTCGCTGCTGAAGCAATCCTGCCTGTTGGCACATGAGCAAAAAGACGGACCATTGATTAGATGAGTCAAGTGCGTGGGAACGACTTGCTCGCTCTTTTTTACGAGCTTGGTGTACTTATAATTCGTATTTTTCGTTTCTCTTTTTTACATTGAGATAAAACTGTTATGATATTCAATGGAAAAATATTGCTCAACTAAATAATGTTGTGCAAATAATGTAATTAAAAAATTTCTAAATAAAAAAAAATGTATCTGTATTATATGTAATTTATACTATAGAGGTGCAAATGTTTTGTAAATGATATGAACTAGAATATTTCATCTTTAATTTTGTGATACTCATTATTATCTCAATATAAAAACGAACTTGTTAGCACAAGGAAAAAAAATGTTATTTTACATTGTTATGGTTTGTTAGTTGGATATGTGGTTATTAGTTTAAAAAACCATTTTCTCGCCATTTGAACAACCGTCTGAAAAAAATCTTGCTTTTAAAAATCATTTCATTAAAAAAATCAAAAACATTTCACTGTTTCAAAAAAAAATGTATACAAGTTACCATGTATACATTTATCAAATTTCATGGACCATAGTTACAAGTACTGTGGAACAAGTAACATGAAAGAATGTAAAAAAATGAACTTTTCAAAAATATTTTCTGAAAAATGTTTGAACCAAAAAATTTAGGCTCAAAAAAATGTATAGGGAATTCCGTACATACCTTCAAAAATAATTAGTATATACTTTTTTTTACTACCGTTAGTCAATTATATGAAATACGGAATTACCTACTTTTATAATCACATTTCTTATGATCTCGAGGTAACTGGTTCCGATTTATTATCACACATTGCAAAAAAAAAAACTCAATTAAGGAAATGGAAAAAATGTGGAGAAGCGAGGAATATCATTTTGATTATACTGGATACTACACAGGATATTTAAGGAGAAGCTACACATTTAATTTACACGTTTACAAAAATCAATTCCCTTTTACTATACTAACGTTATATAATTCAATATATTACACAACTAACAAGCTAACTGTTCACTAATAGTTCAAAAAAATTCAATTTGAGAATAAATCTAAATGAGAAATTTCGAAAATTGTAACACGTATTTTAAAAGGAATAGTGTTTAACATCAATTTTTTCTTAAATATTAGTGTATTTTCCCCTTGTGATTGGGATATTTTTGGAAATAAAAGGTAATGTATAGTTAGTTAAAAGTATTGAAAAAAAAAAATGTATATATTTGTTTTAATAAAGGAAAAACAAAAGCGAAATCATAAAGTTGGGTTAGGGAAAAAATGAACTAAAAAGAAAAAGCACCTAAACCCCAGGATCAGCTCCGTGGAGTTGTTTGATGGAAGTTTTTATCCATTCCATTTCGTCCTCCAGTAGCAGCACGTCCAGACATCCTTTAAAGTAGTCCGTCGTAAAACAGTTCTTTCTGAAAATTTTTATTCTTTACCATTGATATGCATTTTTTACTCTCTCTCTCTCTCTCTCTTAATTTTCTTTTCGTTCTTATTTAATTTCTTATGTCATTTTCTCTTAAATAAGAACAAAAACATTTTTTATGTAAAAATTTGAAAGAAATTATACCCTAAAAATGAACCCGACTCTGTCATCACCGAAAAGTAATAGACATAAGTATTTTTTAATGTAGTTGAAGTTTAGATTATTTTTTAAGCATCACAAGTTAAATCAAAGGTAACTCTTCCATCTGAAAATAAAAATCAACCTGACCTACGAAAAAAAAAGCCCATACAACAGGAGTAACAAAAATTAGATAAGTACCTACATCCAAGAAATAAAAAAAAAACACGAAAAGGCGATCCCAAAAGGCAGCAGAGACTCGCGAGAAAATAGCGGCTCTTGCCAGAAAGTCTTTTCGAAAGTGTTGGCGCTCACATGTACATATACAAATGCTCGAGAAAAAAAGGCCCAGCACTGCAAGCGCAATGATCTCCTTCTTTCTCTTCTCCCTCTCGACACTTCGTTTTCTCTCCACAGTACTTGCAGTGTACCGATACACCAGGCGCACTTGTTATCCGTTCGCGAAAGGATTATTTTAGACTCACGTGCAGGTGCAAAAAAGGCCCCCCATAAATGTCGAATTGCACACACACACACACTATATATATATAAACTATTTTTTGATAACTGTAATCAATGATGATGAAAATAAGAGCCCCGAAATCCAGTTGGTGCGTGGGACAGTTCCGAAAATCATATTTAAAATAAATAGAATAATACCACTGCTCCGCTAGCACGTATGTGTACACAATGTACCCTACATGAAAGCTATTAACTTGTGGATTATACTGATTTAATAATTCTAACGTAGTGTTGCCATTCTTCCAGCTAACTTGAATTTCGTAACTGCCCCCGTGATTCGATGTACTGAGCCGTCACTTTTGCAATTAATTCCTCAATATGCAGTAATAATAAAAAGTTTCATTTTTCAATTAAATTAATAGTAAGCAACGAATACCTTAAAATGTTAGTAAACTTGCACGAATTATCAGTTTCAAGTAATTTTTTCCATCAGCATGACATACGTAATGGAAACCTTTGTATGATAATGCAAATGGATAATAACTTTAACAATAGTAATAATAATAGTTATAATAGTAATGCAAATAAAAACGGTATATCTATATGTTGTAGTATTTTATAAAAAAGATGATAATTGATTTTTTAATCATAATTATAACTAATAGTAATAGTAATAATAATAATAATAATAATAATAAAAATAATAATAATTAATAAGCGTGCGGTGCACATTGATACACCGAAAGAGCGTACCCCCGTGTGCATCTGAGGAGGGCATGGAGCTCTAANTATATATATATATAATATTCAGGTATTACAATAACGGATGTATATACGTTCTCTATACTTCCCTCCTCTCTCTTTTATGCGTGTGTGCGTGTGTGTCCGCGCACGCACAATCTTGTTACTCGCGTTTCTCGAACAGTGCAATACTGTGGTGTGTATATGAGTATAAAAGCGAAGAAGGAGGCAAGCTGCAAAAAAAAGCAGGCGAGCAATAGCCGCGGGGCGGGGTACTATAAATAGAAGAGAAATCTCAGGAAACGCAAGCGAGCGCGCACGCAGTTTCGATACAAGTATTACACGTTTTGTACTTATATTGCATCTTCCACTGCCACTACTTAATATGTACGCGTAAGTGCGTACCAAGAGTTTGGGAAGAGTTATATATGCGATGTGTATTATAAACGCGTGCATAGATATACTCCTACTGTACGTGTCTTGTAACACAGTCCGCGACTCCTCTTCCGCGTTTTATTTTTCCTCTTCCTATACCCGTTCACCTCCTGTGGCGTGTAATGCACGTGCACAATATGGATGTGTACGCGTGTGCTTCTAGGCCCGTGCAGGGTTTTCATTTGTCAATTACACGCGAGTGAGGTGTAAATCCTTTATCCGCGATATATTACGTACAAACCGAGTACTCGGTACAAACGATTGGTGACGATTGGTGACCATGGTTTTTTAACGCACTATGTACATGGACGATTGGTAATCTTGTTAATTAACTTTTCTTACACGGTAAACGATAATTATAATTTTTTTAAATTTATTTCTCAATTAGTTTCAAGATTTAAGGATTAAATATAGCAGTTTTCGTCACATGAGTGTCATCGTCTCCATGGCTACTACGTCCCTTGGGCTGCGAAATAGCCCCAGAGACTCTTAAAAACGCCCGAGGTCAGAAAATTTATTTTTCCGCCCTCGGGTGGTTTTGAGAGGCTGGTACTTCCTCGGGCAAAAAAGCAGTTTTCCTATACTCGTTCGAAAAGTCTCCTTTGCGAATCTCGTTACAGACCTCACCTTCGGCTCGGGCCGCAAACCTCTCGGTTCGCAAACAAAGACTTTTCAAACTCGTAGGAAAACTACTATTTCCGACCTCGGGCGTTTTTGAGGGTCTGGTGTGCCCTCGGTAGGAAAAATAGGATTCGCCACACAAGCGCCATTGCTCCGCGGCTACATTACGTCCGTCGAGCCCTACTTCGCAAGTCCCTCGAGCCGCAAAATAGCCCCGGAGACGATGGCACTTATCCGATAAAAACGACGATTTCTTACCATAGGCACAAAGCAAAACTACCGCTTTGCACCCCGGGTCACACTTTGCGCCCTTGTAATCACTGGGGGCCCATGGCCAGAAAAGTTTTTTGCGCTCTCCGGGCCCAAAGTGATTTACTGGGCGCAAAATTGCAGTTTGCACTCTTGGTAAGAAAAACATTATACACGACTCGTGCGCTCATGTTTGTACTAAGTGCCCTAGTGACGTAATGTACCATTCTTTAAATATTAATTAATATAGAAATAATTTTAATCACACTTTCTGATAGAGTTTTTTTTTTCGAACAAGTTGGAACGATACAAGTTGATACAAAGTGAATCGCAAGTTGAATCAAGGCGGAAAATCATCTATCTTTGCAGAACTTTTTTAATATTGGTGTTTCATGAATGAGTTTTACGGGTACATTTCAACATCATAATGACTAGGTACAATGGATTGGAAAAAAATCTAGAGATCAAATTGTTATCACAATAAACTAAAGAGTAACAAACTAAACAATACTTAATGAAATGCAGTACGTAAGTAACAAAAAAAAAATGAAAAGGTTAAAATGTTCACAACAGTTCTTTATAAACTTGTAGTGTTCACGCAGATTTCAAAAAAAAAAAAGTCGTTAGCCCCATATAGTGTACAATTAGCACCTAATGATATATCCATACAATTTAATTATATACATGTACATAAATCCCGTTGAAATTCCTCGCAACAAATAGCAGATTTTCAGTACTACTAAAAATAAAAAGATATCAAAAAGAAATCGATTTCGACCGATTCGAAGTTTCCCGGGGAGAAAGGAATGAAATGAAATAAAATGAGAATAAGCACCTGCACAGTGTATGCAGCTGGGGCTCGCGGAACAGATTGTAGCAGTCCTCGCAGATGCGGTCGAGCCTTGCGAACAGGCTTCTATCGTAGACCCCCTTGCACTGTATGTCCAAGAATGAGCGCTTGCCCAAGGAATGGCCCATGAACGAGCCGGCATCGGCGATGCCGAGGTACGAGGACACGAGCAGTAGCGTCATCGACCAGGCCAGTATGGACAGAAGCGAGTTGCTACTGCTGCTACTGCTGCTGAACAGACTGCTGCACGTGGTGGAGAACAGGCTACCGCTGTACCGTAGGCTGGAACTGCTGTTGTTGGTACTATTGGAATACCTAGTGATGCCCTTCCTCCTGAATTCGGTTCTTGTACTGATAGTTCCACTCTTCTTGACAATGGTGCCTGTTGCTGCAGCTTCCGACCATCTTGACGATGAGCGAGTAATCGGCCTTTTGCTGATTGTCGTGCGCTGATCCGTTGTCGACCAGCACGTCGTCAGCTGCTGCTGTTTGAGCGTCGGTGCTGCGCCGCACGAGTCTTGCGTTGACTGCTGCTGCCGGTGCATCATCTGCAACAAATCACAATCGTCAACCACAATCTAATATACATTTTTCAGGTATTTTTTATCGGTATGTGCATGGTATGGATCTGAAACAGTGAATAATCGCTGATTTACTGGTTAAAGTTGGATCCCTGTCAGTTCTAGGTGACTTTAGATTTTGCTTACAACCACCACCGACTTCCGATTTGTTAGTTTTATGTTATGTAGAAGTTCGAATCCTTGTTTGGTCCCACCCTTACACATATAGGTATTGCGGCTGGTTGTGCTTGCAAAAAATTCCGTCAGTTGAATGTCACGTTGACTCCCCCATACTCGTGACAAATGATCACGTGACCTTACCTGACTGAACTGACAGAGTCTTTTTCGAACACAGCTACTGTCATCGATCATCTCCCAATCATCCAACTTACACCATCAATATTAATTTGATCTTAAATATTCTATTCAACGCTAAGCGATGCATTTTTATTTCAAAAAACTACTACGAAACCATGATGGCTTTGTTCTTATTATCTTATTATCACTCTTATTATCAACAAAAGCAAGAGAAAAATTTTAACGCTGAATCTCAAATACTGTGGTTTTCAAATCAAGAATCAGAATAGATAGAAGACTTTCTTGAAAGGCCAAAATGTCCTGATTTGAAGTATTTGTACACAAGAGGCCCAAGTCGAGTCGAGGTATATTTCTATACCAGCTTAAATGCACCTTATAAAATCTTGAATAAAAGAAAAACATGATACTCTTTGCACTAGTATAATAGTTTTTGATGTATAGTGGTAGTGCCTTTTGTGCGATACTATGGTAGGTATTTAAGTTTAAAAAGCTGTTTTTTCAACTGTAACGCAGAAAATATCTTGGTACCAATTTGGTAAAAACGTGTGTAGGAAAATGTTTCGGATGCATTCTATTCTGCCATGTTTACACAGTAAATACATAAAGACAAGAATAATCTATGATGAAAACTATCCGTAATTTTATGAAACTATTAGAAGAGTCTTATTCTTGGTTGTGAAGGTTCGATGATCAATTAATTATGAGTGGCCTTATAAAATTTAGTGATTCGAAAAAAAAGGATAATGATATACATAAAGAGATACTAAGACAAATATAAATATAGGGAGGCGATTAAAAATTTTAGGTTAAATACGTAATAATGATCACCTACTATATTAATCCCTTAGTGATTTGTCATTTACAATTCAATGATGTATTTTTAAGTCATCGAGTATACAGGACTTACAATAAAAGTTAATAGGTTATGAAAATTATGAGTTGTAGGATTATCAAGAAAAGAATTCCACAATCTCGTTCATTTTGGGGTTATAATTTTTTGTTGATACATTTTAATAGTATGTTATTCCAAAAAAAAATCCGGTAGAATTTAAAGAATGAATCGATCTTTATAAAGTTTTAATAATGTAATAACAAACTGAATGATGTTGTCAACAAAATTGCATTGCTACATCAGTAGTTTATTTTACTTAGAAGTTGGGTTGGATTCTCTTGAAAGCACATATTAAGGCCAATCATTTAGCCATATGCTCAACTTGCGTACTCCTCACTTTCCTATGAATAGGTACGTTACACGAATATGATACGTACGCGTATGAATATAGGGGTGGGGGGAAAGGGGGACTACACGCAACGCCGATCAGAGACGCAACCATCCTTCCTCATCTCCATGATTCCGTCTTAACACTATACTTCACCTGCGAATGTGTATCTTAAAACTTCTGAAAAATCATAAGATACAGAAAGCGAGATGTGAAACAAAGATTTTTGCATGGTGGATCGAACAGACTCAAAAGCCAATGTTCTGTTGGTCGTCATTTTATTTAGTTTGGTCTTGCTTTATCTTTACCCTGAAAAAATTTTCCAGACCAGAAATGACTGTTGGTGTAGAATAAAAAAAAATTAATTTGTTTTTATGTAAGTCATACCTTTCTTTTTAAAACAGGCTTCATTCAGAATGTTTCATCATAAATGTATCAATATTTTGTAATACGCGAGACAAGATTTGCTTTGAGTTTTATTGCTAAATTGAAATGATAATTAGGTTCAAAGCTACGAGCTATTCTAGTGTGTTTAAAACCATCTGTTGAAAAGTTGTTTTAAAAAGTGCAGTAAAATTCGTGTAGAAAATGAAAGCAAAGTATCGCATAATTTGTCCGCAATTGATTGCCCGCAAGATATTTGACGTTTTCTATTTGATAGGGGCCTAGAGATCAAGTTAATTACATTTCGGGATCATGTAATTCTCTTTTAAACATGAACTGTCTTTGGAAGTGATAAAAAATATGCCTTGGAGTAAACTAAATCTGTCAGATTAAGCAAAATGCGATAAATAGGACATAAGTATTTGAGTTTGGATAATGTGCTACATGAAAACTTTTCTTCCCCATTTCTCACGTTTTTTTAAGATCTCGACATGTATTTATGCATCCCAGATATGTTTCGCAGTTTTTACATGTTGTACGTCCAGTTTTATGTGTTTTGCCCCTTAGGTAGGACAACTTAATTAACCAGGATCTCCGGGGTTTTTCTGTAATTATCTATAAATATACTTTACGGTAAGAATACTCCATCCCTGTAACGAGTACCGACAAGAACGCTAATATGAAACACGTTTTCGTCGCTCCCAGGTGGGATTCGTATTTTTAGCACACGCACGCCGCAGGGCTATCTCAGAAATTTTTATTCCTTTTTTCCCTCTTGCCGGTCTTTTTTCTCGTCATCGGTTCTCTCTTCTCTGTCTTTACCGCACGGTTAGCGTGGCACTTATAAAGAAGAGTGATTCCTGCTCCCTTTCTCTTCGTCGGTGCACTTTGGTACATGTGCCTTGACTATACGGCTGATGCAAGATTCGAACTCCCAAGGATAATGTGTGAAAGAATGTACTTCACTTGTTTCTTTGTCTGCTTCTTCTTCGTCTTTTTTTGGGGGGGGAGGGGGGGACACTCGGGAGAAACGAAGTAATTTTGTGACTTGGACTTTTAATGCAGAATTTTCAGTACTATGCATAAATAAAGCACCTCCCTCCCCCACTTTTCACCCTATAAAAAAGTTCACACTAATTTGAATTTTTTTTTTTTAATTTGTTCACGTCAACTTTACTATACATATGTTTCATTCAAAATCTCAAATGATATATCCAAGGAGCTAGATAAATGATGTACGAAAAAAAATCTTGATTTAAAAGCAAAGCAACACAGTCATCCTCTAATAAATTAAGGTGTGTGTATCTTCACTAAAAGGCATGTTCATTTTTCAAAAACTAATCACGTAAGTAAGGGCCTCTTTTATAAAGGGAATCTGAAAGATAACTGAAAAATGGTAAGTGTTGCCAAGAAATGCTCGTAGTTGAAAATTTTTTTCTAATATTGTTGAGCCGTACTGAAAGACAAGTTAATTTTTGCTCAACAGCATGTGATTGAATTGTTTCTTTTTTTTATTTTTTTTTTAGAAAACTGGCATCCCCTTCTGAATTTGGTGACCTTTTTTTTGTAAGGTATTTAGTTGGACCCATCAAATATATTCTACCTAAATATAAAATAATTTTTAGTATTAAATTCAATCGTCATCATACCTAAGTGATAAAAATTTTTTTCTTTGATAAAAATACACGAAGTACACGTGGGAACTCGAATAAACTATAAACTATTTGTGTTCTATACTTAACCACGATTGTCTGAAGCTGAATCTATCTATACGTGATAAGCACATTCATGCAAACGTGGCTGTGCATACACGCGTGTGTCCTAATAAGTGGAATTCTAACGGCATTAGGGAACCATAAGTATAGGCTCGAGTATAGGTACCCTATATATTACACATAAATTCCAAACGAGCGTGTAATAGAAAGAAAAAAGACATTTTCTTAGAAAACATGATTACAAAGATGACGATGTTAGCAAGAAATAGATGAAACAACGATGAAAAAGCATGTCCTCGTTTTCTCCCGTAATTGCCGGGGTTCACGTATGACAAAATTGAATATAAGTAAAAGTATCACGCGGAGAACGAAAATAGACAGGAGAAAAAATTAGATTGCTGTAGGAGAACACTAGGAGAAAAAAATAATCGATAAGCCAACATTTTGATGTGTATCTTGTCTGCCCGTGTTATATACGTATGATCGGGACATATCAAAGAGATGGTTATACATCTACGCCGCTTAGCTCGCCAGGTGGTCCTTGTCTGTCCTGGCTGATGGCTATAATGAGGGGTAAGAGAAGTCCGGATGACTCAATCGTGAGAAGGAGTTGTCTGACCGCCTGAGAAGGAAAGAAAGAGAAACTTACACCCAAATGAATTTTTTTTTACCAAGCAAAAAAAAAAAAAGGTATAGTGGTTAAGAAAAAGGTTAAATTGGTGACTTTGTTGATTTTGCCCATTTACTCTTTTACGGAGATAATATTCTACTTTATTTACATAAAATTCATGTGTCTTTAAATAAGTATATCCAAGACCATCTTAGTCATGAGACTTCTTGCTTTGCTCTTGAACAAAAGCTTATGCGAGAACTATACTGACTTTGCGCACTTGTTGGATGGGATGACAAACATTTTTCATCCTAACCGTGACCTCTTAATTTTCGCACATTTCTAACTATTTAATCAAGAATAAATATATGCTGTTATGAGCTTGTTAACAATCAATGGTCATTAGCATTCATTTACTTATCAATGATGATTACCAATTTAATTTCATAAAATAATTATTTATAATTATCAGCGTTTCACTAAAAAGATACTTTTGTTCACTGTTAAGGAATAATCAAATCAAAAAATTTTTTATCATGGCTTTCAAAATTGACTTTTAACAAGTTCGTTTTGTTGCAGATAAAAAATATTGTCACTCCAAGAACCAAGTTTTTTTTTGACTTCTTCGAACGTTAAAAAAAATTTACTTTTTTATACAAGGTATTGTTATTTCGGATGACTGTCGTTTTTTTTTTCATCAAAGCAAATTCATAGTGGTTGATGAGATTTAACCATTACAAT